CACTGAGCTAAATCCCTGGCCCATTTTACTTAATTTTTTTATAGTTTATAAATATAAGGCTGTTTCCTTATCATCCAAAAAGGATAATAGCAGAATAAGTTATTTTCAGGATCGTCAGTTTTAAAAGGAAAGTGTGTAATCAAAAATTATAAAGATTTTCATGAGGGGCTGGGGATTTAGTTCAGTGGTTTCGCTGTCTGCTGCACAAGCACAAGGACCCAAGTTTGATCACTGGTACCAAAAAAAAAATTTTTTTCATGAAAAAGAATTAAAGTTAAAAACCATGTAAGAAAGGATAATGATCTCTTATTAAAAATATTAAATAATGGAAAAACACTTTCCTTCCTAGATAATGTCAGATAAATATGGTCTTACTACAAAGTGTATAGAAGTTTTCTTCTTCTTCTTTTTTTTTTTTTGAGACAGGGTCTTGCTATGCAGTTCAGGCTGGCCTTGAGCTCACTGTGGAGCCCAGGCTGGCCTTGAACTCAAAGCAATCCTCCTGCCTCAGCCTCCCCAGTGCTGGGATTACAGGCATGTGCCACCATGCCTGGCCCTAGAAGGTTTTTCCCTTAATCCCTGAAAGAATGAAGATAAAAACTATAAGTAGTAACCAAGTTTGGTGGCACACACCTATAACCCCAGCTATATAGGAGGATGAGACAGGAGGATCACAAGTTTCAGGTCAGCCTAGGCAGTTTAGCAATGACCTGTTGTTATGGTTTATATCTAAATGTTCCCCCCAAAGCCTCATGAACTCATAGATGGGCCTCTGGGGAGGTGATTGGATCATGGCTGTGATACTCAACAGTGGATTAGTCCCCTGATGAGTTTATAGCTAAATGTGGTGATGGGAGGTGGAGCCTGGAGGAGGAAGGTCACTGTGGGTGTAGCATGGAAGGCTGTCTCCCTCTCTCCTCCCCTGTTCTCTCTGCTTCCTGCTGCCATGCTATGAGCTGTTGCTCTTCTATCATACCCCTCTGCCATGCCGACTTTCCTTTGAGGCAGCTAGCTATGGACTGAAACCTGTACAAACTGTGAGCCAAAATAAACCTTTCCTCCTTTAAGTTGTGGATATTGAGTATTGTATTTAAGCAATGAGAAAGTAGCTAAGATACCTGTCTCAAAATAAAATAGAAAAGATTAAGGATGTGGCTCATATAGCCAGTGCTCCCTAGACTCCATTCCCAGGAGGAAAAAAAACAAAACAAAGCAAAACAAAATAAAACACCACAAAGTAACCATAATTATTGGTATGAGTGACTGTTTCTTTTTCTTTTACTATGCTGGAGGTCAAATCCAGAGCTTCCTGCATGCTTGACAAGTGCTTTACCACTGAGCTGCATTCTCCAACCCTGGCCCTTTTTTTTTTGAGACATGTCTCACTATGTAGCTCAAACTGTAGCCCAGGCTGGCCTTGAACTCAAAATGATCCTTCTCCCTCAGCCTCCCAAGTGCTGAGATTACAGATGTGCATCACCTACTTGGCCCTGGGACTAGAGTATTTTGAAGCAAGTATATAAAATTTAGATGCCAAATAGTCCAAACCAAAACAATTCATTCTGTGAAAAGATCAAGCTTTTATCATCAGCCTACATTGTTTATTTTCTCAAACGCATTCCATACAGGGCCAGGGATTTAGCTCGGTGGTGCTGTGACTGCCTCCTAAGCACAACGTCCTGAGTTTGATCCCCAGTAGCAAAAAAAAAAAAAAAGTCCACACACCCTTTTCCATACATCAGATTTTCTCAACTTCAGCAACCTTGGTCTCTATGCACTATATATGTCAGTGCCTACTTTCTCTCCCCTCCCTAGTTGTGACAACCAAATATGTCTCTAGATACTTCCAAATGTTCTCTGGGACAAAATCACCCCCAGCTGAGAATGTTTTAGAGACTTGGAGCTATAATAGACATTTATAGGAGCCTAAAAGAGGGTAAAAACAGAACTCAAAACGTGTTTATGGGGGTTTTTTTAACCAAAGGCTAAAGATTTTGAATTCATATTTAGTTGAATGATTTATTATTAAAAGGGTAAATGTCTGATTCAAAGATTTGCCCTTAGAAGCATCAAAAAGTAGTACATGTCTTATCAGAAGAACCATTTATCAAATTGTTTTGTAATCATTCCAACAAGGCTTCACAGAATAAATCAGACATTTCTTTTTTCCTAGAATATATTTTTAGGTTCCTGAAACCACCTAGAAATAAATGAATCTTTATTTCCAAAAGGTTTTGTAGAAGAAACCATACTTACTGCCCCTCCCCTTTTTTTCTCCATAGGCTCCAGTTGCAGTTAATTTACTTTAATTTTATTTTTGAGACAGGGTCTCACTGTATAGTTCAGGCTGGCCTTGAACTCACTATGTAGCCCAGGCTAACCTCGAACTCACAGCAATCCTCCTGCCTCAGCCTCCTGAGTGCTGGGACTACTGGCATGAACCACCACACCCCACCAGTTGCAAGTTCTTGAAACTAACTCATTATAAGATTAATGAGTTTTCTAAACTGGGTGTGGTGACGCAGGCCTATAATCACAGCACTCTGGAATCACAAATTTGAACCCAGCCTGGGTAATTTAGCAACTTAGCAAGACCCTATCTCAAAACAAAAAGGAAGAGCTGGCACTGTAGCTCATTGTGAAGGCCCTGCCTTCAATCCCTAGTACAACAACACGATGATGATGATGATGATGATGATGATGATGATGATGATGTTGATGATGTTGATGATGATGTTGTTAATAATGGCTTTTCAATTTCTTTTTTTTTTTTTCTTTTTTTGAGAGAGGATCTCGCCATGTAGTTCAGGCTGGTCTTGAACTCACTATGTATCCCAGGCTGACCTTAAACTTGTGGCGATCCTCCTGCCTCAGCCTCTGGAGTGCTGGGATTACATGTGCCACCACATCTGGCTTTCAATTTCTTTTATTACTTTGACCTTTCTCCTCTGAATTTAGCATATGGAATATGATTGTTAATATGTCTTAGCTCTTCTGTTGAGGGTACTCTAACTATCTTGTTGCCATCAGTTGCCAGGCAGAGGGCTAATAATTTATCTTTTACTTTCTATGTGATAGGCCATTGTACATTGTCACATTCATGTGTCCTGGATTCACAGTTATTTCTCCCGGCGACTTTAAAGTAGTATGCTGGCTCTGGCTTTCAATTATTTTTCCATTTTCCCTTTCTCATATACCAACAGCTAATGATTCAGCAGACCGAAGTCCTCGGCCCACCTCTGCACCAGCCATTGCTCAGAGTGAAGTCACAGAAGGTGGTGTCCCAGGGGCACTTGTCAAAAAAATACAGAAGGAAACAGTGAAGGTTGAAGTGAAAAAGGAAGAAGAGCCACCTGAGCAAGCTGAACCAGAGCCCACAGAAGCATGGAAGGTAAGTCATAAATCTGCATAGTTAGCTGGTTGACTTTCTGACTTACAGGTTTTACCTCCTTGACCAGGAAGGTTTTCAGAGCAACTGAGCCTTATAGAATCATGACAAATTTCTTCCTTGTTCTTTCTGAATGAAGTAATTGCAATCTCCACATTGCTTGAGTGTCAGCTCTGTTGTTATGATTAAAATATAAGTTTAAGCCAGGTATAGTGGCACATGCCTGTAATCCAGCACTCTGGGAGGCTGAGGCTGGAAGGTCACAAGTTCTAGTCCAGCATGGGCATTTAGTAACTTGGTGAGACTGTCTCAAAAAATCTAACCAAATAAAACAAAGACAAGGACTGAGGATAGAGCTTAGTGCGAAGGCCCTAAGTTCAATCCCCAGTGCCACACAACAAAATATATAATTTTATTTTCTAGGATAAATAAATGCACATTTCCAAAGAATACGTGTTATGTAAAACACATTTATGTGGTTTAAATCTTCAATAGCATTACAAGAAGGGAAGATCCAATATATATGAATGGTTATGCTGCTGAGTTGCTTACAATTCTGAATTGATTGTACACACAGCCATTGCACTGAGTTGAAAAATCACCAATTTAATTGCAGATTTCCCAGAAGCAACAATTACTGGGCTGATCTTTTATGCTTGTAAGCTTTTAAAGCACATTTAAGCAGTAATGGAGTTAAAGTACTAGATCAGGTTTATTAAAATAAATATAGGTCTCACTGTTGCCAACAGGAATAAGCAGAAGCAGTCATGATAAGAATTATATTTTTATATCTCTATTAAATTTAAAACTGTAAAAAAAATTTAAAACTGTAAGATCTTAGTATTCTCACCTTAGCATATGAATTAATCCTGTTCTTTTGGAGCCAGATCAACAGTTAGTTTATCTATAGAACAGTGGACAATCTAACTAACTATATTTTTTTCTAAAATCTGTTAAATATGATATACAGTTTTCCTGTACTTTTGAGACTTATCTTGAATCCAGAGAGGGAAAAAGAAAGATTGAATGGGTGGTGGAGGTTTACATTTTGGTACCTAGCCAAATGTTCATTAACAGTGTGTAAACAAATTTTTATTTTAAACCAAGGGCCTCTCACATGGTAGGCATATGGTCTGCTACTGAGCTATCACATCCCAACCCTTTTCTAATTTCACTTTGAGACAGGGTCTTGCTGAGTGGTCCAGGCTGGCCTCCAATTTGTGATGCTCCTATTTCAGCATCCCAGGAAACTGAGATTACAGGCATGTGTTATCATGCCTGTCTAAAGAGTATCTTTTTAATGTTGGATTACCTGCTCCATTTTTAATATTACAATATATTACTTGGAATGTTTGACTATCCTTCTGTTTTTATACTAACAGGAAAGTTTCAGATTATTGGATTGTGAAGGTAATCTTTCTGAATGGCTAAGATTCCTCAGGCTTTCTGCTTACTTGTGCTTTTGTTTATAAGACAGACACAAGTGTTTTTTTTTTAGACACAAGTATTTTTAAAAATATGTTCCCTTTGTACTTAGGACCTCACCAGAATAAAGAGAACACTCCTTGGTATATTCTTTTCATTTAAATGTGTGTTGTGGAGGTCTTTTTGCCAATTAATTCTTATGTAAGTACTGTGTGTGTGTGTGTGTGTGTGTGTGTGTGTGTGTGTGTATACATTTGTGTGTGTGTGTGTGCCGGGGATCAAGCTCGGGTCCTTGCACTTGCACAGCAGGCGGCGAAACCACTGAGCTAAATCCCCGGCCCAGTACTGTGTATATTTTGAGATACTTGTGTTGGAATACAACTGAAAGCCACCTCTGATAACCTATCACTATATTAGTAATGCCAGAATTAAGGGTGAGTCTGAGTTGATTTTATTTGTAGCAGTTAGGAGATAATTATGCCATTTACTTGAAGCCATATGTATTGTATAAAGCAATAGTGGTAATAAAATAGACTTACAACTCTGTAAGTTGCATTATCTCACACTAGTTTGGTATAAGATAAGAATAGCTTTTTTTTTTCTTTTGGTACCGGGGATTGAACTCAGGTCCTTGCGCTTGTGCAGCAGGCGGTGAAACCACTGAGCTAAATCCCCAGTCCAAGAATAGCTTTTTGTCATCGTGAGTTATTTGACAAGGTCTGTTCTGTAGGTGTGGAAGCAGTACTATTTAATCTTCTGTGTAGGGGCATACACAAAGGTGCTATTGCTACTCAGCCTTCATTTTATTTTATTTTATTTTTTGAGATGTAGTCTTGCTATGTTGCCTGGGCTGGCCTCAAACTCCTGGGCTCAAGCAATCCCCTGGGTAATGGGGACTATAGGCATGAACCGCTGTGCCCAATTTTTTGAGAAGTGATGATTCTCAATTTCCTGTTGTTGGATTGCTACAGACCCAAAAAGACTCTTTATTTGTTTAAACAAAGAATTTAAGCTTTATAAAATAATTTAAACTACTGTTTGATAAGTACACATAATTCTGTGAAGACGTTATCTCCATTTTTTCAGTATAAACATTTGAGCTCAGACAGGTGAAATGATTTGTCAGTGGGCACACAGCAAGTAGGCTGCGATTCAGAGTAGAAACAATTGAATTGTCAGTAACCCTGGTAGTTAAAAGTGCTGTAGCTGATGGGCTGGGGATTTAGCTCAGTGGTTCCGCCACCTGCCTTGCAAGCGCAAGGACCAGAGTTCGATCCCCAGTACCAAAAAAAAAGTGCTGTAGCTGAATGTGCTTATAATTTGACGGTGTTATAAAGTTTGATGTCTCATTTTTTACATTTGGTTCTAGAGAAAGTAGCACAACACCATTATACTCTCAGGTTATGCTGCTCAGTATGATTAAAAAGAACATGTCAAAACCACAGGTTGATGAAGTTCTATAAAGAATTTTATGATAGAAAGTGATTGACTTAACCCTTACTAAAAACAATCCTTTTTCTAATTTTGTAATAATCAGTGCTTCCTCTTATTAGCCTCTCTGGCTTTTTAATAATCACTCCATTTTCAGTACTACATAAAATGACTATTACTAAAGGTATTTCAAAGCTACACAGGGGACATTATCTGTTCATCTGTTAGTATTGAGAATGACTCTTACCCTACCTCCAAACATAGGCACCAACTGTCTAGAGAGGAGATTGTGGTGTTGAATGTTGTAGCTGAGTCCTGTGTGTGTTATGTATAAATCAGTCCTGGAAGTAATTGCATGTGTCAGTTAAAATTTGGGTGAAGTTTATTTTGATGTTTTGTTGGGTGATAAGGCAAAGAGTAAACTACCTCTTTAAATATTTTGATCAACTAACAAAATCCTATGTATTTGTTTGGTATCATGTATGGTTTACTACATATGTGTTTTAACTATAAAAATTATCTTTATTTCTGCCATGTATATTAACATTGATATCATCATTTGTAAATTTGTTTTTAAATGTTAAAATACTTCCAGATCTTACCAAAAAAGGCAAAACAAAATATATGCCTATAGTATCAAATAAGCCTGTTTTTATTTTTAGTGAGTACTTTTTAGTGAATAAATATAAAAATGTTTTCTTCAGTAGGATAATTACCTTAATTTTATTTTTGATAATCCCTATTATGTCTTCATCCTTGAAAATGTGATGGTAAACTAACACATTGCCACTGGGAGTAATATTCTTGCCTGTAACACCCTCCGTAAGTCTGCATCATGGTTACCTTTTGACATATTTCACAACCAGCTTAATGATGCAGCTTATTTGAAAACAATGCTATTCATAGAAACCTACTAACCTAAAATGTTTTTGCCACTTTATTTCTTGAATTTAGGTGGAAAAAACCCACATCGAGGTCACAGTACTCACCTCAAATGGTGACCAAACACAGGTTTGTGCCAACAGGCCACGTGTTCCTTTTTCCCTCTACCCCTCAGTTTTTTTTTTCTTCTCCTTTGCTCCCCTCTCTTTAAAAATAAAATAAAATAAAATATTCAAACAGACTTCACTGAGCCCCAATATGTTATCATTTTTTTTTCTTTTTGAATTATGGCAAAACAGAAGCTTGCAGAAAAAACTGAAGATCTGATAAGAATGAGGAAGGTTAGCCATTTTTCACTGTCACAAAACTACTTTTCACCCATGCTGACTACAGTGCATTAAAAAGACAGTGATCCATTCTTTTCATTGATTTCTCTTAATCAGAAGTTACTTTAAAAGAGCAGAAACATATGTACATGTATACATATATATGACAAAGAAATTCTAATCTTATACTGTACTATTTATTGAAAGATTTTCCAGTAGGAAAGTAATCTTTTATAACAAAATGAAATGAGGGTCAAACTTATTCTTCATATTCAAATTTATAAGAACTATTTCACAATGACATGTTTGTGAAATCATTGACAATATTTTAGGGCCGGGGATCTAGCTCAGTGGTTCTGGCGCCTGCCTTGCAAGCACAAAGCCCTGAGTTCCTGAGTTCAATTCCGGTACCAAAAAAAAAAAAAAAAGACAATATTTTATACACATTTATCATAAAAACCATCATAGCAACAACTCTCAGTGTCGTTAATGAGTTTGATTGCTATGTGCCTCATTCTTCCCAGCTACACAGTGGGATGCATCAGTTCTTTTTTTTTTTTTTTTTGCGGAGCATCAGTTCTTATTGGATATATTTATTAGTTGATCAAGTATAAATGCCTTTGACCTTTTTTGTTAAAGGTATTAGAGATCTACATACCGGAGTATCAGTAATTATGAAATACCTCTAAAAAGCTAAATAATGTTTTGTTTTGTTTTTTTTGGTACCGGGGATCAAACTTGGGACCTTGTGCTTGCGAGGCAGGCGCCAGAACCACTGAGCTAAATCCCCAGCCCAAAAAAGTTAAATAATGTTTTTAAAGCATCTCTTTACTCCCTGGTATGTGAGATTTCAACACTTTTTAAAGACATTATTTTAGGGTAATATTCAAACAGTTCAATTTCAAAAATAAATATAAAACAACTTATTATATAAGAAGCCAATGAAACCTGGAGCACTGTCTATTTAAATAACATCAGCACAGTCTCTCATCATTCATAAACAAGGTCATTCATTTTCTAGTGGTAATCAAGTTCTTCGTATCCTTGTGATTCTGTGGCTATTCCATGTTGGCATATGCTGCACTGCAGACATTTAATTTCAAATATTTTTTGGTTTGCCAATTTGCAGTTTTTTTCCCGCAAGAATAACATTTTAATTTTTTATGCTTTTCTGTTTTTCCCCCTTTCATTTTCACAGAAAAAAAGAGAGAGACTAGATGGTGAAAACATTTATATCAGACATAGCAATTTAATGTTGGAGGTTTGTATGAACTTGAAGCTTATTTCAGTTGGTTGCCTGGATATTCTGCATTCTTTACCGATTCCCTTTTCTTCATTCTATGCTGCATTTGGTTTTGCATGCCATTGCATGAGAGATTTTTAGGTTTAAAATGCTTTTGCATGTGAAGATATGCAACCATCTCTCCTTTCTGATTCTTTTTAGTTTTCACCTCATACTATCTTTAAAAAAATATATGATTGGGACTACCTCTACCTCTCATAGTTCCATTATTTTACCTATGTGTAGAAAATTCTACATCACCACTAGAAGTTCCTTGCATTTTCCAAAAATATTTGAACTTCTGCATGCCCCTAGGAACAAGTTTTCACTTTTTTTCTTCCTGAGCTGAGAGAGTATAAAAATATCACAATTTAGAGTGGATTTACAATAGTGGAGATAGTAGGAAATTACTAAAGAAAGGTTGGGGGGTAAGATAAGAAAGAAGAGAGCCTGGTATTTAATGAATAGTTACTGTAAAAGAAGTTTAATTATAAAAACAAGCCTGTGAGAATGGTTCTTTCATTTTAAAGATGAGAAAATGGAAGCCTAGAGAAATTAATTACCTTATGGTCACAGAGTTGGTAAATTGGATTTAAATTAGGAATTACATGACTATTAAACTACACTGTTTTTCTTTCAGAAATAGTAACATACTGTCTGTTAAACTACACTGTTTTCCATTCAGAAATAGTAGCATACTTTCTGCTATAGGAATTTTAAGGTCGTTTTCCCATTGTATTCAACATTGGTCAGGGGCTGGGGATTTAGCTCAGTGGTTCTGCCTCCTGCCTTGGAAGTGGAAGGTTCCGCGTTTGATACCCGGTACCCCCCCCCAAAAAAAAAAAACACATTGGTCAGATTTTTTACCTGTATTAGTCTAGAGATAAAGTACACCTTATCTAGTTTGGGGATCCACATTGGATAGGAAAATGCAAAACTATTTAGACGCTTAGGGAAGTATATGAGAAAAATTAAAGAAAGTGAAATTACTCCATGTAGAAAAAACTAAGATCGAGTTAATTTACACATCAGAAAAAAAACTCGTATAGAAGTTAATGACCAGGGCTAGGGATTTAGGTAAGTGGTGCCACCGCCTGCCTCGAGCGCAAAGTCCCGAGTTCGATCCCGGTACCAAAAAAAAAGTTAATGACCAGATTATCTTACAACTCCATTCAAGGCAAAACCATAAGAAATGAATATAAATTCTTACATCAGGGATTTAACTTCACTTTAAAGGAAATGTAAATTATAGGAAGATGATAAACATGGTGCCAACCTTCAAGAATCTTACAACATGGGGAACTGGGAAGGAGAGAAACAATAAATATGTAAACAAATGAATAAAGTAAAATGAATAAAGCAATTACAAGCTATTATAAAAACTGTGTAAGAAATAAACAGTATGCTGTACTAACAAAAAGGATCTATTCTAAGTGAGATGAACAGTGAAGAGTTCACATTTTAACTGGTATATAAAAGATGAACATATATTAAATGTGATAAATATTAAACTAGAACTTTGAAGTAACTTTTTTTTTTTTGTACCGGGGATCGAACTCGGGTCCTTGTGCTTGCGCAGCAGGTGGCGAAACCACTGAGCTAAATCCCCGGCCCAACTTTGAAGTAACTTTTAAAAACAAACTTTTGGCTTAATATATAGCCTCTAGTAATTATTTAACTTTATCTTGTTCTTGCTAATACCTATATTTTGAATACCTGCTATTTGTATAGAAGTTTGATAAAAGTTGTAAAAATTACAGCCAGCTATCATTAAACATACTGTATAACAGGCACAATACCTACTAAGTGCTTTACATACATTCATCTCATGAACATGAATTTTTCTGAACTCTCAGATATATCAGTCTTAGAAACTAAATCTCTTGTTTTAGCCCAAATCTGAGACTAGACCTGAATCATTCCATCTTCAGAGATTAGGAAGGATAATAGATGTTGATTTATCTCCTTTACTCAGCAGTGTAACCATCTCCCAACCCTAAACATTTCCTGAGTAGCCCCTCTTCAGTGCTTAACTGGAACCTGCAGTACCAATCATATATTTGTCATCTCTCGTGAGGTGTGTGATGGCTTCTGAGACTCATGAAGTCCCTCTGTGTGATGTGTTTTTTCCCAGCATTTCACTGATAGCCATGAGAGGAGGTTTCTAAATAACTGTGTGTTTGAGAATTACAACTACTAACCGCCTTTTGAGAACATTTTATATTTAATGAAGTGTTTGGTTTGATTGTTGCTAAAATTGTAGATGATAGGTAAAGATTGCCTAACCTCAACACAGCCAAAATAATTTGACTGACCATCATTCTTTAGCTATTTTAAAAAGTGTTTGCCCCCATAAGGATGTTCTCTCAAGTTATCTGTCACTTAGCAGGGTTTTGTTTTTTTTTTTTAAAGCATCCCTCCTCCTCACCTCCTCCTCCCCCATCCCCACTAATGCTTTGTTCTGGCACAAATAAGGTCGAATTCATTTTTAGATCTACCACCTCCTCCTCCATCTCCCAGAGAGAACCTGTAACAAATGTCTATGACAAGTTCTATTTGGAACAGGTCCCTTTGAGATCTTAATTTTACTCTGTGCCCCCACAGGTTTCCATCAAAGCCAGCTAAGGAGGATGGAGAAAGCTCTCTCAGAAGCTACTCATTTTATTGGAAATTTTATTTTCTCAGGTTCCAAGCCAGTCAAAAGCTAGGCAAGAAAACTAACAAGTCACCAGTCTATCTTATTAAGATGCTAACTCAGAGTTATGATTTTGGCATAGCATCTCTTGCTGATTTTTGTTTTGCTCCAGTCACACTTTTAAACCTCCCAAATATGTTAAGTTGTCTCAAACAGGTTGATTGCCAGTCAGAGGTTAGTCACAGGGCCTCACATGCCTGATGGGTCTCATTTGCTCAGCCCAATACTGAGTCCTTGATTGGGCTTGTTTATGCTTTTATTTAGCTAATAAACATGTTTTTCTTGCTTTTAGCTAGAACAAAAGCACAAACTGTAGCTCCTTCTTAGCGAAGCTTTTTATTCATAAGATAGACTCTCATTTTGCCCAGCAAACAAAAATTACTCTTATAGGTAAGCTATAGAGTTACTCTTTTTTGGTTAGTTTTCTCTGACTGATCTCAAGCAAATGTACATGGGTCAGTCTTGCAAAAATAATGATAGAGTAGTAAGTGAATTTTCTGAACGAATACTTCCAGAATCAATATTGTTGTCATGTGTCTCACTGTTGTTTTTTTCCTATGCTATTTTCCCTTTGATGTTGCTTTTGAAAAAATTTTATTAAACTTTTAAACAAATTTTGATTTAAAAGAATTCTATTTTTCTCCAAAATGAAGCTGTTGCCCATAGAGCCAAAAAAGAAACACTAATCCCCAAATTAACAGCATATTAGGAGATATGTTTGGCATTTTGCTTTTCTTGAATACAGAGCTATCTTGATATATGACAAACAATTTTTTTACAGTCATCGAGTGATGGACTCTAAAATATCATGATCCCACAGTCAGACTTTTAAGTATTTTTTTTTTTTTTGGTACCAGGGATTGAACTCTTGGGTCCTTGCGCTTATGGGGCAGGTGGTGGAACCACTGAGCTAAATCCCTGGCCCTAAACTTTTAAGTATTTTGAAACACAGTTGGACAAAGACCATTCCATCTTCATCTTTAAGTTATATTTGCTAGGGTATTTTTGGTCAAGTGTCCTTTTTTTTTGGTACTGGGGATCGAACTCCGGTCCTTGCTCTTGCTCAGTAGGTGGCGAAACCACTGAGCTAAATCCCCAGCCCTGTCAAGTGTCCTTTTTGAAAGTTATTATATACTATTTTTACATAAACCTGAGTATTTCTAGCTCATGCTTTGTTCACCTTAGTTTTGATCATTTGTTGCTAGAATCCTCTTTTAGAGTTTGCCTCTTACTCTAGTTACCCACTATTTGTTGAATTCTGATTATCATCCCCAATCCTTTGAAGGTTATTGGAAAATGCCCCTCCCCTTTTTTGGTGGTGGTGGTGCTGGTGCTGCTTCTGGGGATTGAACCTAGGGCCTTGCAGATGCTAGGCAAGCACTCTACCACTGAGCTACTTTCCCTACTCCAGAATGTCCCGATTTTGATTTGTGCTAGAGGTGAAGCAGCTAGAAAACATAAGACTTTTAGTTTGTGTAAATAATATTGAAAAGGGGGGAAAGTCATTTTATTACATACCCCTTATTGGTTTTTTCAGATACTAACAGTTGACTCTGGAAGCATTAGGATTTTAGCAAAAATTCTTATATCAAAAAAGGTTATTCTTCGCCGCCTGCCTTGCAAGCACAGGTCCCGAGTTCCATCCCTGGTACCAAAAAAAAGGGTTATTTTTGTTTATCAAAAAGAACAAACACCTATTTTAAAAATACAGAAGCAAAAAAAGTCTCCAGTAGAAATAGAGGGATACTTTATTGTTACAACTCACCAAGGTATAGCAGCCAGTGGTGGAAGTTGAATCTTTCACCATGTCTTTCATTTAATAGTTTGTTTCTTTATTGCTTTCTCCATCCTGCTTGAGCTGAGCCTAAATCAGTTCTTAATTGAATGGATGAGGAGTTGGAGATCTGGTTTTGCATCATATTGAGAAGGAGAGTCATAAAATTACGGCGTGAGGTCTTTATGGGTTACATAACTAGAGAGCTAGGGCATTGTGATGCTTCACTGCTTCCAAGAAAAGCACCTTGAGTAAAAAAAAAAAAGAATCAAGCAGTTATACCATGTCATAGATTTCCAATTTGAATGCAATTTATGAATTAGTAATATCTATCCTGGATGTGGTGTGTTTTCTACCAGTGCCCAATCTCTGATGGGTTGTTCTTGGTGTGGTTTTTGTCCCTATTATTTATAGTTTTGCATTTTTGTCCTTCAACTGTAGGATTTAGACAAAAGTCAAGAAGAGATAAAAAAGCATCATGCTAGCATCAGTGAGCTGAAAAAGAACTTCATGGAGTCTGTACCAGAACCACGGCCCAGCGAATGGGATAAACGCTTATCTACTCATTCCCCATTCCGAACTCTTAACATCAATGGGCAGATCCCCACAGGAGAAGGAGTAAGTATACTTTGTCCACATGGATTCTGAGAATGAATGGAATAAATATTCTTGTGTGTTAATATTCTGTTTCTAAGAAAAAGTTTAAAGCTAAAATTTAGCTTTGGTGCCTCAACAATTCATTGCCTTTTAAGGCGTTCATAATCAAAAATTTATTTATCATTTCAGGTGGCAACACAGTTCAATTGTGGGAGTCATTGAGAGTTACTAGTAGATGATTAGAATCTGAGAACTGTCTCCAAAATGCATGCTTCTGGCTAGTATGTGTTTATAAATTGAGCACACGCCAGTAAAACTTTGTTTATATTCAGAATGTCCCTTCCAGGACCAGAAAGTTGACTAAATTTAGCAAGGTCAGAATTGGAAAGGGATTATCATTTTTTTAAACTTTATTTGAACATTTGTACAACTTAGAAATGCCTGGAATGGTACAGTTATATAATATACCAAGGAGACCCATAAGCCTAAGAATGCAAAACACCAAGTGTTAATGATTGCATTTCAGTTTTAGAAAAATGACTGATAATTTAGTCTTATGAGTAACATCAAAATTTTAATATGCTGTTCTATTAGATAGTCAAATTAAAAGAAGCCAGAGATACCTTTTAGGAGTTATTTTTTTCTCTACTATTGTCATTACCTATTTTAGAAATCCTGCATCTAAATAAGTGAATCTGTTTAATGAAAATATCTTGAAAGTTGCTTGAGCAAAGAGTCTTTATCTTTAGTCAATGCACATTAAATATTTATATAATTGTGATGATTGAGTGATCACCATGGTTTTTAAACTATATGCTCATTCCCCTTCCTCCCCCCAAATAATAGCAATTCTAGTTAAGAAAGGTAAATTAATGTTCTGGTTAAACACCTAGGGTTTAGCAAGCCACAGTGGTGTGTGCCCGTAGTTTCAGGTTCAGGAGGCTGAGGCACAAGATCACTGAGTCCAGAAGTTCAGGACCAGCCCGAGCCAGGTGTGGTGGCACACACTTGTAACCCAACACTCTGGGAGGCTGAGGTAGGAGAACTTGGAAGTTCAAGCCAAGCCTGAGCAACTTAGTGACTTAGCAAGACCTTGTCTTAAAATAAAAAATAAAAAAAGGACTGGAGATGTAACTGAGTGCAGAGGCTCTGGGCTCAATCCACAGTACCACAAACAACAAACAAAAAATGTGTTTTTGTTTGGTTGTTGGTTTTTAAAAAATTTTGTAAACTACCCAAATTATTTTTCAGTTTTTGAAACTGGAGAAGAGGATAAACATTGTACCACAGAGGGCATTATTTATATTTTTTTAAATGTGATTAAGATTGGCTAATAGTTCTCCATTTTTACAAGTAAAATATCTGAATAATAGGTAGCTAAATAGAATTACCAGGACTGATAGGACACTGGTCCTCCCACTCGTTGTCCTCTCAGCCTCCATTCCCTGATATAATTGGACATTAGTTTTGCATCCTAAATGTAGTGGACATACCCTGAACTGGGACAGTAACCCTGATTTTTAGTTGAGACCACCGCTGTCAGTGTCAGCTACTCCATTTGGATATTTTCCTAGTAATAAGAATCATAAAGTTCCAGTGTGAGTTGTGGCTTGGTTTGACTGAGAGGGTCTAGCTAATCTAACTAAATGATCTTGAACATATCATTTATTATGTTGAGCCTCAGTTTATATAGTAGATAATCTTTAAGGTACCTCCTCTAAAACTCTACAAGTGAGAAACTAGCTTATTGCAACCTCATCTCATAACCCCATCTGCAAATCATAGCTGCAAATTTTCTAGTTTTGTTTTTTAACTGCAAGTCATAAAGGATGCTCAACAACTTTGAAAAAATAACTTGTTCTGTCTTACATGAGGTTGGATAAATTTGTATTGGTCACCATTTCCAGAAAATGTCTTTTCCTTCAGGAAAAAAAAAAAATAGAAACCCTTCAGAAATCATCTCAGGGCTAGTTATGGGAATGGCAGTATCATTTGTGGGCTTTCAAGAAATGACTTTTTATAAACTAAGATCCATAGGGAGGTCTTAAATAATTTTAGCTGTATGCTTCTGTATATTTACCCCTCTAAATGAATGAGGTAAATAAGAACTATACTTTGATAACCTTTTATATTGGGATAATCCTGCTTTCTGGCATATCTTATTTTTTCTTTAATAATTAGGATACTATTTCTGTTCTTTGGGGATACCTCTTCCACCTTTAACAGCATTGTTGTTGCATTGCAAGGCAACTGAATTTTATACAATTTGTGTATGACCAGGTGAAGAAAACCTCTACCCTCCCCTCGGAAAGAAAGGTTGGTGGGCCAGAGGTAAAGCTGCTGTTATGACTTATGCTTCTCAATCAGAATTTGCTCTTGTCATGGCACTAAGCAGAGACTCCCCTAGAACTGAACAACAGCTGCTAATTAATTTTTCTTTTGGCTATACTACTAAATTCATGCCCACAGCCTTTTGGCCTAACACATTACACTTTCACTGCTGCAGCGTTTGCAGCCTTCAATTTGCTTATTTTGTCGCATGGCTGGTTGAAAAGCTGCATGAAGATGTAAATGTGTATTCAGAGAAAAAAATGAATTTAATTATACCCTATTCTTTTTATGTTGTCTTTCTTCTCCCACTTTATTTTCTTTTAAAAATCATTATGAATTTGCATCCTGTCTTTTCCTTTTTCTTTTTGCTGACCAGTCCCCTAGCTACTTTCTCCCTGATACATATCACTTAGGGGTGTGCAAAGAACCAGTGTTGAGCTTCCAGACTGACCAGAGAAGGCTAGCTCAGCTGAGAGAGCTTAGAGCCAAGTTTTTCTTGTCATAGACAACATCTGTCTTGACTATGTGTAACAGAAGGCAGAAATTGCAGAGGCAGGAAAATTCTCAATTGAACAATTGTGGAAAAAACTTTCCTTAAAAATTGTCAAAAGTATTTACTTAATGTAATGTATAAACCTCCATGATGGTCATTATTTTTAATCATGATTCTAAGAATGTACAGTTGTTAAGATCTTGTAGGTTGCTTTGTTTTATTTCCTTTTTTGGGGGGTAGACCCTGGAGGTACATTTTATACTTTCGGGTTTTTTTCAATCTTTAAAATGTGTAAGATTAAGAATTTTAATTCCTTAAGTAAGAGCTAATTATCATATTGAGCTATTACAGTTTTAAAGTATATATGAAGGAATATGAAGATTATGTTTTATAGTCTGCCATTCCATTTATAATAAAAGTAACTTTTTTCATGGCAAGAAGAATGGTTCATTATTGGCATAGCCCAATTCATTAGTGATTGGCAGTACTAAACAAAAAAAAATGACCCAGAATTCATATGTGAAAAAAATTTATAATGTGAATATCTTCAAAAGAGGAATAAATATAGAAGGCTTAATAGCCCTTGAACTTTCAGTCATTCTGATATTTATTTTTTAAAATTAACTGTTGAGCACCCTACTGTATTATAGAGATAAGATATATAGAGCCTAGGATAAATTGGCAGAGTAAAGTGACTCTAAAGTAAAGAGTGTCCAAAAAGTCTTTCCAAATCCTTTGCACATCCCCAAGTTTCATTTCTGAGTATTCTCCATCTGTCATTTTGTTCATCTTTCTCTGTCTTTCTTGATCTTCCACCGTGAAAGCAGACACAGGAACGTGCTCTGTTAGTACAGGATGAAGAGAAAATTAAAAGGCAAGAGAGATCTACTGAAAGAGCCTTGCCCCAGCAAGAAAATGAAGAAACTCTTCCCAAGGTTTCTATTCCAATCCCTGAGGATCACAAGTCTCTCAAAAAGTGCCACCTCTACCCTAGTACTCTTCCCTCTCCTCGTATTCCTTTCATGATGTCTTTTCTCGTGGTCCTTGCATTGGCTGTTTGGTGGTTGGTCTTTCTGTGATTGGAAAACAGGGCGCTCATCTGAAATGTCAAGACTAAAACCACTGAACTTTTGTTGTTAGCTTCACATATGTAATCGCCTATATGATGCCTCTGATCTTGATTGTTCACTGTCCTAGTGCAGCTCTAGTGATCATCTTTCTGTCAATAAGATATTGCTTCTTGTAGATTATGTATTGTGGGGTAAAAGGAGTAGCAATGGATTGCCCAAGCCAGCTTTTCTGCACTGAAGTTTAACAAGTTTAGACAAATAAATTTAAGCATATGACAGGTTGGTACTTTTCCCAAAAACTTTAACTCTTATCCTGCATGTTCTTACTTTTGGCTGTGGCCATGTCCTCCTCTCCAGTGTCTCACACAAATCAGGATACTCTCTAGGAACTTACGATGGGATATTTTCTCAGTCTTCTAGTCAATTGTGTGGCATGGGCTCCATAGTTTAAGGAAAAAATTCAACTTCCTAACCTTTCAAAAGCCTTAAAATGTGATAATGTTTTAATCTATAAATCCATAACCACTCCTTTTCTTAGAGCAACAAACTAGTATATACAAAGGCCTTTTTCTGGAAAAGGGCTTTTGACATCTGTGGCCTTTTTATGAGTATTTCTGAGCTGTACATGGATAGGTGACTTTATCCTCCTTGGTGTGTAGAAGGGATCTGCAGAAGTTAAATGCCATCTTTTCATATGTGGAATGTTGAATTTGTTTAAGGAAAATGGTGCTGGTGCCCCCTTGGCCTCCAGCCAGGGCTGAATTTCTCAGACTATATTTATCTTTAAAATTCCTGGAATACAGATTTATTCAAGATCTATACATAAACCTTTCTCTGAGTTAAAATACTGTGTTACTTCTTTATGTTTTAAGTAATTATATTGTTACCTGTAGAAGCAATATTTAGCCATTATAGTAAGCTTAAAATCTATGTTGATACACTTTGTTTTCCTAATAACTTCAGGTGTTTGTTCTTGCACGTGTGTTTAAAACAATTGTTTGTAATCAGTGGCCTTGTGAGCTAAAGTTCTATTGTAACAAGTATGTGTCCTCTGTTTGCGTGTTGATTTATAAGGCTTCCCTAAAGTTAATATGAGCACTCTCTCTTCAGAACATGACTTGGATGCCTAACCTGTTTTTTTGTTTTTTAATTTCTGTATTAATGAAATCTTGCATGTAGCTTGCTTTTTTCGCACTTGGATGTACCAGGATGAACAGTATGGTTAATGTCTCAAATATTTGTTCTAAAGTCTGAGCTTATAGAATTATCAAACTGAGATTATTGAACTTTGTATTATTTCTCAATGCTTTTCAGTTGATGAAACTTCTAAACAAAACTTTTTGTTTTTGAGAAGATATCCTCAGAGCAAAAAAGAGAACAGTAAAACCAAGAATCTTTTGCCCAACATGCACCAGTATTGTTTCGTTGTCTCTAGAAATATATAGATGTAATTCTCTGGTATTTTTGGAAACTGTTATTCTGTCATTATAGTCTCTTCCAAAAAATGAGAAAAGAACCAAGGACCAGGCTAGATTGAATAATCTGGTGTGTATGTATATTTTTCATATCACAAACTATGTCTGTTTATAACAAATATTTTGTAAGTAAGCATATTTGTTGATACATTCATAATAAGAAAAGAGATCTCACATCAACCTGAAATACTGCACAGCTGTTTTCTAATACACAAAGTGATAATCATAAATATCCTTTATCTGTGAAATAGAAATCAGTTTTCCTTAGTGAAATAACAAATGAAACTACAGCATTGGTTACCTTATTGTAAGTCTTTTTTTAAAGAATAAAATGAAATAATCTTAGGATTGTATTGATACTTTTATAGCTGTTTCAGATTATATTTCCTGAAGTTGCAGTTTTCATTCTTGTACACAGTTCTTTATTATTATTATAAACTTTACCCTGAATTTTGTTTCCTTTTGTATTGGAGTTATTTCCATTCCACTAAAAGTCTAGTGTAAGCCAACATTACTTTTGAGTTTTCTGAAATGAAGCAAGAGCTGGGGATTTAGCTCAGTGGTGCTGCCGCCAGCCTCGCAAGCGCAAGGTCCTGAGTTTGATCCCCTATACCAAAAAAAAAAAAAAAAAAATCAAAAAACCAGTTGGTTGAAATGAAGCAAGAATCCTCAGAGATCTTTATTGACAGTCAGAGGTGACCCATTTCTTCTGTAAATAGGGGAAGAATGGTCAAGATGAGAACAACTAAGCCCTTGTATTGGATGAACCTGATTAATGCAAACTCAAAAGAAATGGCCATCCTAGTTATCAGAGAAAAATATTAGACATTCCAGCTTTGTGTTGCCTAAAATTAATGCTGCCAATGTTTGTAACATGAAACTGTAAGTAGTGTTGGTTTCTTTCCCCCACTTCGTTCCATTCTCAAGACCAGGGTTATATTCAGATAACTGTATTGGCTTAACCTCGGTGCCACTTTTTTTTTTTTTTTGGTACTGGGGATTGAACTTGGGACTTTGCACTTGCGAGGCAGGCAGCAGCACCACTGAGCTAAATCCCTGGCCCCCCTGGTGCCACTTCTTAATGATAGCCTGATAAATAAAAAATCATTTGGACTAAAGGTATCCATACAGTCCAGCAAAAAGTCTTGGATATTGGCCTTGGTTTTGCCGTTAAGCATTTCCAGGGTGACTCCAAGACGTTTACTTAACTATATGGGGCCCAGGGGGCTGGGGATTTAGCTCAGTGGTTCCGGCACCTGCCTCGCAAGAGCAAGGACCCAAGTTCGATCCCCGGTACCAAAAAAAATGTATATATATAAAACTATATGGGGCCCAGATTTCCACCTAATAATGAGACAGACCTACCTCATGAGAATGAGTCTGTAATGTTGTGCAGAAACCTGATTGTTCAATTCTTGCTCTTTTAGGGGCTGGGAAACTGGAAATTAAAAAATAAACACATAACTTCTTTGGATTTTTTTATTTGAAAGAAATTTGTTTATTTCCATCTATTCCTTATTGACATTTGGCCAAGCATTTTAAACTACTAAAGTTAAAAACTATCTTTCTAAATTTATCCTACTCTTAATAAATTCAACTTTATCTGAATGGTATTCTTAGATTGAACCAAACTTGGAAACAAACCCAGCATCTATATTTTGGGCCTTTTAGCCATTTACTTATGTGCCAACACCTGCGGTAAGAAGGGCTTGATTTGCATGGGTCAGTTTTACTATTTATTTATATCTTCAGTAAAAACTTTGAAGAGGGAACATATTGGTACTAATTCTGTTGATTAAAATTAGGTTGGGGATTATCTGTGGAGAAGATTTCCAGTTGTCATTTTAGAACCTAGTAAATTTAAATTTCTTTGAAAACAGGACAATTCACTTCTCCTACTCTCCTAACTCACTTCTGTAACAATTGCTGTAGAGATAAGCCTATAAGCTACTAAACATTAGA